TACTATTTTGTATTTATAAATATTTACAAATTGTGTATAATAATAGTTATGTAAAAATAATTTTTTGAATTTTTTGAACATTATTTTCCAGCACTTAGCACTAGAAAATAGTGCTATATATCCATTTAAGGTAAGAACTATTTTCAGTGCTTAGCGTTGGAAAATAAGTGGTAACGGCAATTTAAAACGGTTTGCCGTTATCCATTTCTTTCCAGCACTTTATTAGTAAAATTTTTCTTGTGCATTTTTTGCCCTGAAAAATAACTATTTTCCATACGTTTTTTTTTTCCATCAACATTTCCCAGTGTAGAACGTTGAAAAATAATAATTTTTCAACGTATTTTAAGTATTTTTCAATGCAAAATGCGCTGAAAAATAGGTTTTTTTGTAGTAGTGAAAGATTCCGCCTAGGATTAGCATCACATATATTATAGGAGGCGTTAAGGTTTTATTCTCTATAATTCTAGTAATTTGTTAGGGCAATGGTGTGTTATAATCATCTTATAAGTTTATAATTATAATATAATATTAAATTAATAAATTTATAAAATATTATAAATAAATTCTTGATTGAAAAAAATTAATCTTATAATGATACATTATAAATGTCAATTTACAATAATTATATTATTATCAACAAACTTGATAATTAACAATATTTATATATAAACAAAAATATTTAAAATATACCAACATTTTAAGTAATTTAATAATTATCTATTTTATTAAAAGTGAGAGATTCTAAATGCAAATTGTATCATATAATGTAAATTAAAAAATGAGAGATGATTATCTCTTATTATTTAATTTTAAATTTATACAAATTGAGATTAAAAAATATTTAAAATATAATAATATTTCATACAAAACAATGGAATATTTTATACACCCTCACCCAACCTACTTTTAACCCTTTACCTTACTAGTTTTATAGATTTTAATCTTTTATCTTATATTGTGACACTTTTAACCCCTTATCTATTAGAATTAAAGAAAATAATCCTCACTTTATAATATTTCATTAGTTCTGTTAATTGATTATTAACTTTGTTAACTGATTGTTAATTTTATTAGTTGAAAGTAGATTTTTGCTAATTAACAATCAGCTAACAGTCAACTAATAGAATTCACAGTCAGTTAATATAATAGTTCTGTTAACTGACTATTAACTCTATTAATTGAAAATAAGTTTTAACCTGCTAATAGTCAGCTAACAAAATTAACAAAATATTATAACTGATGGTTTTTTTTTTTTAATTATAATAGGTGAGGAACTAGAAGTGTCATAGTATAAGGTGATGGTTAAAATCTATAAATCTGATAAAATAAAAAACTAAAATAAAAAGTTAAAAATAGGATTTTGCCCTTATTTATTATCAGATCATATGATATATGCTATACTTGAAAATATTGCATATGCTCACAACCACCATCAAATAAATGAATACATCACAATTAATGCATTATACATGAATAAAAAAAGTTGGTATAAACGTTACATCATGTTTTTTTTTTCTTGAATAAATTGAAATTATTTACCTATTAATTGGGGGAAGGGGAAAGGAATTTTCTTAAATTCAAACACGTAACTCACAAAAAGTGAATGATCCTAACCCAAACTTTATGCTATTAAGTAAGAGTGGGCCGTTCCATTACATCATGTTATTAACCATGTTACAAGATTTTTTTTAATAAATATAATCAGAAAGTTAATATATTTTAGAGAATGGATTAGCCACCTAAGCCAATTAATAGTAATTTCCTTTCATCAAAAATAAAAAATTTTAAATTTAAACAATAAGTATATGGGTGGAGTAGATTAAAAACTAAAGTAGAAATTTATTTGCACATAAGTTTTATACACAACATTTCAATAAAATCTTAATCATTTATTTTTTTTATTTTTAATAGTTAAAATTTATCATGATTTTTTAAATAAAAAAGATAATTTTTTAATAAATATAAATGAATCTCAACTATTAAAAATGCAGAGATAAAATATTGAAATTTTATTTTTTAGTAATAACCCTTAGCATCTGGAACTCACATTAAATCTCAACTAATTAAAAGTCAAGTTGTGTCAGACAAGTAGCATATGGGAGTCGACTCCATAAAAAAAAAGCTTTTTTAGCGTTTATTTCTTTATCACAAGATTCAAATTTAAGATTTTATTTTAAAAAAATCAAATTTCTTTCACTTAAATCAACAAAACATTGATTGAAATTTTATATAAGTGTGGTACGTAAAATTTAATATATAAATTGATTCCTATTCTAAAAAGTAAAAAAGAGTTCCCTTGCGTTACACTGATTCAAAATATACTTTAAAAAGAAAAAATCAAGAGAAGGCAGCCGATGGAAAGAGTGTGAATTCAAATTAAATTCAGCACATCAAGTTATAACTGGGTGAAAATTAGATATTTATCGACAATATCCTTCTTGAACATATTAAATTCACGCTCACTATAAGTTAATTAAAAATATTCTTTAATCACAGCAGATGGGCTTTGCCCCCATCTTAATACCCAAAGAGGAAAAGTTCACATAAGGTAAATAAACGGAAAAGAGAAACACAATAAGGCATGGGGCTATCTAGAGACATGTTAAGTCCGAGCAGAAGCAGTCAACGAGCTCGTATAAGCCTCAGCGTCCCATCTCCTTGCACAAGGCTATACCCATGAGCCGGAGGAAACATGTTCAGTATTAGCTGCGCCTGAGCCACGGCGTTGCTGCTCATTGGCACCTGCACAAAACAACTCCTCATCGCCAACTTACTCCTCCACTGCTGGAACTTGTCCTTGCCACTCCGCGCAGGGCCTGCTATCGGCCAGTATGTTGTTGATTTCCCTATAGAGAGGGCAATGCTCCACTTGGTGCCTTCCAGGGTCATCACATGGAAGGGACGCCCCGAGGGAATCAAACATGGTTGAAAAATAGTGGAGTGACCCCACGAGGCGGTCCAGGGAGGACCCGCCGTCGTGGGAGACGTCTTGCTCCACTAATGTGATGATTCTCGGTGCTACTTGCTCCAGAAGTCTCAAGGCGTTCCAGTCGGGTCCAGAGGCGTCATAGAGGGAGAGGCTGTATCCAGTGCACAGACACTGTCTCCCCTCTCCACACTTGCACCGCCCCAATGTCAATCTCTCCAAAATTCTTTGCCACTGGGTGGAATTCAAATGACATTCCAACCCGTCTAGCAAAATTCGAGAGCCGTCTTTCAGTTTCCACAAGAAGATCCATGGAAGCACCAAAGCCGGTCATCCTAAGGTATGGTGGTCCTTCTAAACGGTTGGCCAGGATGTGGAACAACGCTGGCCATTGCAGGCCTTGCATGATGTCGAGGTCTATGATATGAACCCTGTCGCGGCATTGTAATGCTCCAAGGATGGCTTGGTTGGAGGTGAAGTGAGCAAATTTTATGAATGGAGAGACACTGTTGAAGACGTGGAAGGTCGAATGGATGCTCTTGTGGTTGATCAACGGGGAACATATCCCTAACCAGGAATTTATAACCCTACTCATCATTGCTTTGGCAAAATAGGCCACCACCCTCTCAGCACATGAAGTGCCATAAGGGGAGGCCATCTGGGCCAGCTCCAGCAACAGTCTATGAGCTTCACCGAGGTTGTCCGCTGTGATAGCCACGGCGCATTCCAGCAGAAGCTTCATCTTGTTCAGCTCTCGCTCGTTGGTCTGACTTCCAATCTCATGTGAATTAGTACCCCATTGAATGTCTTCACCATCGAAATAACTCCTTTTTAATGCTTTCGTTGATGGGACAAGTTATCCTCACCAGAGACCATTGTCGTTGTGGTGTCAGCTTGTAAGCTTTCAGCTCCAGTGCTGGTTTCTGGCATGTCATCAATGAGCTGCCAGGTCACATGTTGAACCCAATCAGAGAGCTCATTTCTCTCAAAACTCTGGCAACGGTTTTCAATCGTTTGCCTCATTGGGATAGAGTTGCTACTGGGTCCGAAGCGCCACAGAAGAATAGTTATCCCAATGATCATGAGGCTGCATCATATGATCTATAGCCGCACGAGACACTTCAGATCTTCCTTTGATCATAGTTCAAGAAAAACAGGATATATGAAAAGAAGAAAATCTATTATAAAGGAGGAAGACAAAATAGAAGAAGAAGAAGAAGGGGGGTGGGGTGGAGGAGGAGTAGGGAAACCCTTTTAAGGAGGAAGATCTTGGCAATCAATGGAATTGGAGGTGACCGATGAAATGGTCTGGAACAGAAATTTTGGTACTTGTTTAATGCAAGTTCATGGCCGGCATAGCTAGACACATAGATAAAGATAAGTTGCTAGAAGGCAATGAAACACGTCACTTTGGTAGTGATTTTCTAATTATTAACTTAGACAAACAAAAAGAGGGGGAAATATATCTGGAGCATTATGTATCTGTAGAATTGAAGATATGTGGAAATAATAACTACCCCGCCATATAAAAATGACTAAAGATGGGTTATAAACAAGTAAACAACTGTGGATTGATGTCTTAACAAAGACTGTAAACCAATGTGAAAGTATGATTTACATTATTCTAGCAAGAAAGATGGGTTTTTAGGAGACATATTTTATCACAGCAGGATATTTTTTTAACATTTTAGTCTCCTGTGGATTTAT